TGATTTTGATTCTTTTGTACTCAGGATAGATTTCAGTACTGGTGATTGTAGTGTAGTTCCTGAGTATTGTACATGACTTTTGAGATATGAATCGACTTGTATATTGATGTTTTAAATTTTATAGATGTTTGATAGACTGTTACTTGAAGGTTTTAGATAACTCTGGTAAATTGTTTGAGAAATAGATTGACATTCTTTCCAAGTTAGATCTTGGGGCATCACAGGTGCACCATAGAGTTCTCCATTTGGTCAAAAGTTTGAGAGAAATTAGCTTCAGATATTGCGGTGCAAAGGGTAGCAATGAAGGAAGCAGTGCAGTAATGAAAGCTGCATTGGTTATAGATAGGATAGCAACCACTAGGGAAGGCCGATAATTAAGGTATGTTAATATGAAAAATCTTTTTTTAGACAATGATAGAAAATTACGTCTCAAACGGATCAGCACTTGGCATGCAAATCTCCTCCTGTCTGATCAAACCAGCCTTCAACACTATTCAAATTAGTCGTCCAACTACACCTGAACTCTCCTATTCGATAGACCCCATACATGTGCACGCAAGGCCTATGATCCCTCCGATATGATCGTAGGAAGGAGTGTAGGTCTTGCACTCTTGCTTGTACGTGCCCTAGACCTTCACGAGAGTCGACTTTGGATGTTGCACTTGAGAGGAGCCCTCCCGCTCAATCTCTCCTCGGCCTTTTATGCATGAAGGAAGTAGAAGGATGAATATTCCTTAGAATTCTTCCAATAAAGGCCAGTGGAAGGATCAGTACTCCTCATAATTCTAGCAATAAAGGCCGGTGGTGGGAAACATGTATTCCTCATAATTCCAACAATGAAGGTTGATTGTGGGAACTTGTATTCCTCAAAATTTTGGCAATGAAGGCAGATGGTGAGAACATGCATTCCTCAGAATTCCCACAATGAAGGTTGATGGAGGCAACTTGGATTCCTTAGAATTCCGACAATAAATGCTGGTAGTAGGAATCTAGCTCTAATACCACGTTAAATTTAGAGAATTTGAGAGGAAAAAAAAATTAATTTGATTACACAAAACTATCTCTAGTTATAGATATATACAATATGTTTTATTAAACAAATAAATAACTATGTAATCATACATAATTATCTTAATATAATCCCTCTTAAATCAACCACCCAAATCTAGAGGGAGATCAACATGATCTAGGTGAGCCTCCCATGGATCCCCATGCTGACCATGAGATCAAGGGCCAAGGGATGACTAAGATTTAACAACGTGATCCTAATGAGCCTCCCAAGGATCCCCATGTTGTCCGTGGAATCAAGGGCCAAGGAATGGTTGCAATTTTAACATATAAAAATTGAAAAAACTATGATGATATATCGTTTGCAAAGGGAGACAATATATAAATTGCATACCTAAAATGTTAGTGAGAATAAAACTTATTTATATTGCATGATATAAGAGCAAACCAACGGGATATGGCTTTAAAGAAGAGGGGAACAAGCATGTTACAACCATCAAGAGGACACAACACCAAATGCAACCATGACTTATTTTAGTGATATTATTTTTATGATTCTATATTATATGCACTGATCAATGAGCACTTCACTTAAAATATTCTTTTTATTTGTCATGATGTCTTATTTTTTTTAATAAAATATATAATGTTTTAAATTAATAACGACAATGTGTGAAGGATTGCAAATTTGTTTGTATTAGGACATTATGATATCTATATCTTTGACTAGTTACAATAAGATATGTACTTGATCCGAGAATGAATCTTAGATTTTTTATTAGTTTGCGCGATATAGAGAATAAATTTTATGAGAATCTTAAAATCTTCTTTTGGGACAGGGATTTCGTTTGGAACAACTTTCTTACTACTTTTCAAAACAATTTTTTAACATACAAAATTCTTGAATTAAAAATTTTTATAATAGAAGACTAGTATAAAAATCAACATGAAAGTTGTCTCGAACGAAATCTTAAACTTCATTTGAGACGTTTTTCCTTCTGCTTCTTAAAGCAGCTTTTTAAAACAAAATTTAAATTTTTATTTTTTTTTATTAAAAAATTAGTTTAAAAATAATAAAAACTGCCCAAACAAAAGCTTAATCTTCCTAAAATTTTGAAGCAAAATAACATAAATATTGATGTCTTATGTGTTCCATTTTCTCTTTACCTTTTCTGACAACTTTTAACACCTAATTCTTGATCCTCCATTTCAAATCTTTTGGCTTCCTCATATCAACATTAAAAATATTAATAACAAAAGCACTCAACAACATAAAATAAAGCAATTAATACACAATGATTATATGAACCAATCTTTTAGCACAACAAAAAACACAACTTCAGAAATGACACTGTTCACACGAACGCAGATATGTATGTATTCATAATCAGAAACAAACATTCAACACTTGCAAAATAAACGCCTCCAAAAGAACAGTTCACAGCTGCTAATTTATGTTTATATTGATTCCAGAACAGGCCATACACTTAACACGTCTTAGAAACCAGCATGCAAATGGCAGAGTAAGGTTTTCTTTGAGACAACTTTTTAACTATTTTTTTAAGCAGCTTTTTAATACAAAAATTAAAAATTTTGTATTAAAAAAGCTGTTTTAAAAAGCAACAAAAAAGCTGTCCCAAATGAAGCCTAAGTTAAAAAGGGAAATTGACAAGGTCAGCTGACATACAAAGTTGAACAAAACTCTCAAAGTGCTTACTCTCATGGCCATGAAAAGGTGGAACACACCAAGCAACTGCTCTCTCTGCTGCCAGTTTCCATCAAGGGTTAACGCTCTTGCAAGATTCCACCTAATTTTAGATGTTAAGGAGAAAAGAAAAGCTTTGATGTTATCTTGCCAGAAAGAATGAAGGTGAGGAGGTCCTCACCCATTTCTCATTGCAGAGGTCATGTTCAATTTCATTTCCATCATAACAGAACACACTGTTACTGACGCTCTGTTCAGAGCTTGCATTGCTGCTTGTAGCAAGAGGAGAATCAGAAACACTCACTGTTCTACTCCTCATAGAACCAGACCTCACACTGTACAAAGATGAAGCTGGAATGTTGCTCATCAATGGCCGTAGAGTGCTAGGTATGCTTCGCCTTATATCCTACATTGAAGAAAAAAGATTGTGAACTTGGGCTTCATTTTGGACAGCTTTCTTACTACTTAAAGCAGCTTTTTAGTATAAAAATTTTAAAAAATCGCTTTAAGAAGCAGTAAGAAAGTCGTCCCAAACGAAGCCTTAACGAGCAACATAATACAAATATAGGCATGTAACTTGCTTTTAAAAAGAAAGGTAGGGGAACATTACCATATGCCTCATGGCCATATCAAGTGACTTTTTCGACAATGTTCTCCCAAAGCCAGTGCCATCTGGCGAGATGGAGGATTTCGCTGAAGAATTGTTGCTGGAATGCAGGTCATCATGCTTTGGAGGTGCCAGTCTTCTCAAATTTACAACTCTTTCAACCATTTTAGTTCCTATAGCAACTGGGCTTTCATCGTCGCAACCATTTATTCGCAATCTGCTTGATGCAGGAACAGAGCTACCACTGACAAAATTCCCTTTAGGGGCTCTCCCTCTAGAAGGTGAACAAGACTGCCTTCTAGGCCTTGCAATCGCTCTATCCTCAACAGAAGATGATCTAAAGCTGGGTGCGCCAGGTCTGCCCCGTGAAGGTGAAGACCTCTCCGACAGTGTAGTCCTCAGATTAGGAGGTGCGTCAAAGGTAAACCCAGGCATTTCAGAGGGTTTCCAAGGCCTTGATCTTACTGTTGGAGAGGTTCCTCGTGATGGAGCTGCGATTTTTGATGATGTTGGGCCTGATTTTGGAGCAGAGTTGGCCGGCAAAACTGACCTTGGGACAGAATTGGCCGGACCTAACCTGGTGATTGAACTGGTTACAGGACCAGATCTTGGTACAGAACTGGGAGTAGGGCTGGGCCTTGTTGTAGAACTCGTTCCAGGACTTGACTTTATGACGGAAGGCCTTGATATAGAACTGGTTCCAGTGCCTGATTTTGTGACAGAAGAAGAACGACTGAGTGGGGCTGAACTAGTATGCAGGCCAGATGGGGTGGTTGGCCTCCTTGTTGGAGTATCAGACCTTGATGTAGATTTGTTAGCTGGTGGTATGGAAGATCTTGAGGTGGGTGTAGAAGATCTAATTGGTGTGGATGACCTTGGCCGGGAAACCACCAAGTTGGAGGGCAATGTTGAACCGGAAGTAGTCGAAGATCTGGAGAGTTTCGCTGATGTAGGCATTGTTGACCGTCCAGTTGGGGTTGCAGGCCTAGATGAAGCTACACTAGAGCCCCCAGATGAGGATGGTCTCCGAATTCCAGAAAACGAAGAGTTTAAGCTAGCAGAGGGAGCCATTTGTCTAGATGTTGACATAGTTCTTGAAGAAGGATCTGCAGGATAAGCTAACTGCGAGAACAACATTGAATATTGCATAAGGATTCGAGAGGATTCAGAAATAGTGTAATATGCTGTCTTATAGGTAAATGGCTTTATAGAGCAACAAGTGCAATGAAGTCAGATATATTTAAACCACGTAATTAGATATGTAGTAGCAATTGGAGATGGAAAATGAGGACTTCCCAAACTGCATAAGATGATTTCATTGGAACATCTAAATTTCTCCCTCAATCTGTATTAACTTGCTAAAAGATTTACAATAAAAATCTTGGAAGTATAATGTTTTAAATATCAATTTTCAAAGAAGTTTTGCACAGTGACACAGTATGGTAGGAAGTATGAATGAAAGAGGGACAAAAGTTGAGCTAAATATACTCAAACCCATTTTTAACCTAAAAGTTTAAATCTATGGGTGATAGCCAACTAATTTGTATATATGCACCAACGCTTTGCTCAACTATCCAATGCGGGACTAAATACACTTGCTCTTGAACTTTGCTCAATCTAAAGTTCAATAGGAGCCACAAATTTTATGAACTACTCAAACTCAACCACAACAACTTCAATACTACTTATTAGAGAGTATGAATCAAAGGAGACCCAATGTTGGACTATATACACTAATGATCATATCATTTTCAACCTAAAAAGTGCAAACCTATGAATAAGAGTCAAGTACTAAGTATATTTACACAAACATATATTTCAACCATCTAATGTGGACTAAACTTAATATTCTCATATTCTTTACAAGAGTATTGCTCCATAGAAGCATTTCAATCATATAAAATATTATGCTTCATTTGAGACAACTTTCTTATTGTTTTCTAAAGTAGCTTTAAGTACAAAATTTCTAATTCAAAAAAATTTTATGTTAAAAAGCTATTTTAGATAACATGTAGACAGATGTCCCAAACAAAACCTTAAAGCTACTTTACCCTTGCATGAATTTAATACTTTGATTTCAATCATTATTATTATTGTTTTATGAAGACAAATTTTTATAAGGCCTATTAGTGCGAGCCAATGACATGCATAGAGGCTGAAAGGAGCAAAATTTTAGGGTGAGCTCCATAGGCCCTATGGAGTTAAGTGACTCTGTAGTTCCTTTTGAGTTGGGTAACCTTAAAGAGTAAAGTTGGGAGAGCTCCTTAGAGCTTTAGAGTTTTGTAGGCTGTAAAAAATCATTGGACTTTGGTAAGCTGTATAAAATCTGTATCTTAGATATCCATAATTAAAGTGGTGAAATAATTTAGTTTAGTTAGATGAGGAGCTAAAAATTCATAGAATAAACTTGATACATGAAGAGAGGGTTCTTTCCAGAGTGTACTCCCTCCTTGTGAATCCTACCTTACCTATCTCTTGAAGGCTTATTCACCTTATTTCTCTTCTTTTCCGGTCTACATAATGCATTTGACTACATTGAAGTTCTTTTTCAAGTGAGACAGACCCAATCCAAAAGGTGGCAGAGCACCATCATTTCTTCTTAAATTGGTATAAACTCATCATCTTTATCCATTATTCATTATTAGAGCATCATTTTTCTCCAACATAACCTCATCATTGTCATTTGACATATCTTCCCTTGTCATGAATAGGCCATCCATGCCAGAACAAGACCACTAATCTAACCCAACTAATCCATGATGAGAAAGGGACCATTCCTCATGACAGAAGAAGGGCACCAAGCTCTTTTAGGATTCACAAGAGGTTGAAGAAGGCAATGACCAAGTTATTTTCATCATTACAATAGTTGGAGGATAGTAATAGTCTTGTCAGAGGCTATACTAGGAAGCTAGGATTGGCTGTAGATACCTGTATCTCAGAAAGAACAATAGAACGGGGAAGGATGGGTCAAATCAAGTTGTAAGGGTTCAAGGCCTTTCCCTAGCTTGACCCAACCCATTTAACAAGACAGGGTTTGTGCCTACATTCTAACTAAAAAGTCGAGTTGGGTTTTGTCAACTTAGCCACATAGCAGTCTAAATTGTTTTTTTCATACCCAAAACCAACTTGAAAATAGAATTAGGCTAGGTCAAGCAAATTTAAGACTCTGGATGAAAATTTTACATGTGCATGGTAACTAATTGAGATGAATATATCAGGCCCAAAATTTCATTGGGTGCACATGTGGATTTATAGGGTGCAGTCCATTTTGCAAAGATTGCATGACAAAAAAGGAATAACTAAAAATTGATGAAATAACCAATAGAGCATGGCTACAAGGCTTTCAAATAATGTTTTGATATCTGAGAAAGTATCACATAGGCTTGCATAGGTTTTTAAACTATTTCGCTGAATAATTTACTTGAGTAAAATAGAGAATGAGCTGAAACTATTCAGAACCTTGCAGTTTCTTCTTTTGAAGGTTTACTATTTTCTTCCAATTCATTTAAAGTTTAACTTCAGAAATTTCAAAAAAACAATTTTTTTTCATTTAGTGCAGAAATTATTGATATTAAACTACTAAAAATCAGAAATACAATATATCATAAAGACCACAAGCATATTCCACCTATTTAAAGAGTTTCATATGAAACTAGACAAGAAACAAGATGGATATAAAGTAGAATATCAGTCTTGCATAGCTTTATCAGCCTTCTTACCCTAGATTTTAACATAGTAGGATGACCTTTTGGAGTACCATTATGCCCTACAGGAGATCTGTGAGACTCCTTCTCCAGATATGGAAAAAGTGGTGTGTCTGGTGGTGTGAGAAGCCTGTAAAAGAATGGCATCGAAAATACAACAAAGTATAATCATTGATTAGTTAATACCATTTAGATAAGGTAATCCCACTTGCTCACAATATCAATTTACCTACGCCAAAAGCATATTTGACCTGACTGCAAAGCAAAAATATTGAAAACTATGTGCAGTACTGATTAGTGCACCATTAATCAAGAAAAAATATCCACCATAAAAGAACTATAAAGCTGAATTTTTTTTTATAAAAATGAATGTGAAGTTTGTGAGAAAAAGTCCAAAAAAAAATAATAAAAAGAAATAATCCTAAAAAGTCATGTACCGATTCCAAGATAACAGTAGAAAGAAAGCATGTTTCCAGATACTATCCCATACAAAGAGAAACATATTAAAAGTCCTTAGGAAAAAGGAACTAAGGGCAAAAAACAAAGTAACACTCCAATAACAAAATGGAAATGACATGAAGAGATAGGCATATGATGCACTAGCAAAGGGTAGTAGGAAGAAAAGGGTCAAATAAGTAAACTTGGACAAGCAATTCATTTCCATGTATAACCATTCTCTCAGACAAAATATCCCCCCAAAATGCAAATGAATTGCATCAAATGCAATGACTACTCAAAATGGAACGCTTATTGAAAATACCAGTCATAATCGCTCTTCTCATTGTCCGAGTTGAGAAACTCGTCAGCTGTAGTTTTACGCACAGTAGATCGTAGCATCTTGAAAATTGGAGAGCCCCCAGGCTGAGACTCTGCAAACAATATTAGTATATTTTTCAAGAAAAACATTTTCATCGTAATATCGTAAGAAATTGAGTAGTCCCAATAGAAATATTTGAAGGAAACATTACCCAATTGTGGATCAATTTCATTCGAGTTCTGGAGCAAAAGGTTGCTTCGCTCCTTCTCTCGCTTCCGCATCTCAATGAACAGGGTGAGGTCCTCTTCTCTATCTTTCCCTACTGCTCCCATGGCCCTCCCCCGCAGCTCCGGTGTCCTAAAATTTCGCTCCATTAACCGCTCCACCACTCCAAGCTATAATCTGTCACGATAATGTATTCACTAACACCAAAACACTCGAGATCTGGACCGCGGCCTCAAAATCGGCTAGGTAGAACCCGCATTTCACGTTTTGCTACCGATCGAAGATGCAAATAGTATGGGAGAAAGTGCAACGCAAAAAGCCAAAAAGGGAGCTTCAATGCCCAAGCTCTCACCTCTTTCGACTATTTTATTTAAGAGAAAACCCCATTAGGGTTCTCGAAGAGCTCGAAGGAGGCGGAGAGCGGGAGACCAGGAGAGGAATGCGGCGAGGGGCATTCGGTGTTATTTTGCCTGCTCCGTCGCCTCAAATTTGAAAGCCAAGCGAAGAAGCAAAGCAAAGCGGATTGGTCGGAGAAAGCGGATCCCCTCTCTCTCTCTCTCTCTCTCTCTCTGTATCTATATCAGCTTGCTTGCTTTCAGGTTAACCTGTATTTTTACCGAAACAAAAAAGCCTTTCCATTTAAAATAATTTCATGTATGCCACTTGCCGTATTAATGTCCACGAGCGGTCGTTATGCGGGTGGATCAGAAGATTAGCAGTGATGGTACACTACTAAGGAGCAAGGATTAACAAGTTGCAACTTTCAAATTAATTAAATTAGGGTATTTTAATGACATCTCCACAACTAATTCTTGACAACATCCTTAGCTTTCTTTGTGCCCCCGAAGCGGGTCGGGTTAGGGTCTAAAAAATTGACCCGTTTTTAAAAACGGGTCGGGTCAACCCGAACCCGAATAGTACCGGGTCAGTTTCGGGTTCGACCCGAACCCGACCCGTGACCCGAAATTGACAGGTCTAGCTATGACTAAGGTTAATCAAGATTGAGACTAGGGAAGGGCAGAGCAAAAATAATGTAAAGAGCTAAAAAATTAATGAAGATTTCTAAAGAGGTTCGGTCATCTGAACACATTTATTATGGCAAAGCCCTAATTAGAGATTTTATTACTATCGCTGAGAGAGAGCGAAAAAGAAGAAAATTGAGTGATGCACGAGATCTACAGAGTTTAATGGATTCAGAAAACTCTGCTTCATCCATCTAGCACTAATCGATGTCGCGATTGCCTCGATCTTAAAGTCATAATCATCACTTGAAGTTATCGTCTTGTAGTGTTATTAATATGTATGTTGATAAGCTAATAAGTACTTAGTCTCAATATAAACTTAATCATATATAGTCACATGCTAGGTCTATAAATTATTTTTATTGTGCTCTTTTGTTTGTGATTATTTACTCATTGTTAATTTAGAAGTTGATGTAGATGTTTTTTTGTTCACCACTTTTAGAGATGTAGGTCAGATCGATGCTATTTTTTTCTTCTAGAATATTTTATTTCAGATTAGATCAACTAGTACTTTCTTATTTTGGTCAACTATTGAGAATCCGGCTAAGGAGGTATTCCTAGGAGAGCTTCTAGCTCCTCCAACTATTATGTCTCCTCTTCTATGTTTATATATATTAGCCTAAGATTTCTCCTTGAGAGTTGAGACATGATTCCATTCCCAAGTAGGAACTAATCACTCGAAATGATTTATTGTCTCATCATGATATGTCATGTTGTTTTCTCATGCCGAGGTACTTTTTTCATCTTACCCTAAGATGGCTTGCCACTATTTGATCACAATATGCTTCCAATATTTTGCCCAAAGATGGCATATCACTATTCTTCTCAAAATGACCTATATTTTCTCCAATGATGATATGCCTCTATCACATCTCAATGCAATGTATCATCTTACCCTTAGCAAGTTTATTGTCATCTCATTTTAAGATAACATATCATAATACCTTGATGCGACCAGTCATCTAACGTTGGGATAGGCACCACTATCTCATTTCGAGACTAATCATTATCTCATCATGGGATGGCATGCCTCTTATCTCATCACAAGATGACCAATCATTTTTGCCCGAGATGACCTATCATCTAATCTTGAGATGACTTAATGGTCATTATAGGTAATAAAATAGCCTTTCAGGTACATGATTAACTAAACGGATCATAAAACCCAAACTCGACCCACCTTTAACCCGATTCGACCTTACTTGATCTGCTGACCCTGTTGAAGTACGATGGGTGACCAAGTGCATGTGGTTGAGTTGGCAAGCTAGATCAATCAGGCTAGCAAGCGAGTGCGAGTGTGACAAGTAGGCAAGCACGAGCTTGACGAGTAGGCGAGTGCGATTGTGACATATTGGCTAGCACGAGCACAATGAGTGGGCGAGCACGAGCACGATGAGTGGATGGGGAAGGGTGGGATCAACGAGTGATTGTGATGGACATTGAAACAGTTCAATTTCATGTTGCTTTTGGGTTTTCAGCTTGACACAAACCTGACCCGAAATTGTAATCGGGTCTGAATATAGAAACCTCGAACCCGACCTGCTCCAAACGAGTTGACCTGACCCATAACTTTTAGGTTGTGTTCAAGTTGGATATTTGGGTCATGTCAAATATTTACACTCCTAACTGTCATCTAATCTTAAGTTAACCTATCTTGTCACCTTGAAATGGCATATCATCATCATGTCTTAAGACAATGTACATCTTTGTAGGCATTATCACTCAGTTCTGATGAGAACAATATATAAAGATATTTAATCTTTAAGAAAAGGGCTTGCTTGGGATTCAACATTTCATTATTTAAGAGACTTTGCTCAAAGAAAGTCCCTCTAATTATGAAGATAGCTATCACTACTCCTTTGTGGGTGAAAAAAAGATGGAATTTCTTAAAATGTATCATTTTAGAGCAGTTGCTTGCTTCTTGGTCACATTCATTAATATTACATTCAAGAAATATTTTCCCAAAATTCCAGCCAATTAGTAATTTTGAAAGAAAAGGAATTGGAATAACTCATTTGAGTATTATCAAAAAAATTTGAGTCGCAAACTACCTTCTCCTACAAAGGGTATTTATAATGCTATGTTTGAGAGTAGTTTGATATTTTTGGTGATGTTGATGATAGAGGGATGAGACATTTTGTTTTCGTTTGAGACAGCTTTCTTACTATTTTCTAAAGAAGCTTTTTAGTACAAAAAATTTCTATACTAAAAACTACTTTATAAAAATCAGTAAGAAAGTTATCTCAAAGAAAATATTTATCATTGATACTCTAACCAGACAAAAATGAGCCGCATTTTGCCCCTTCTATCGATCTAAGGATTAAGAATCATTACAATTCATCTCTGAAATTGATGTTTAGCCATTTTACACCTAAAAATAATGAATAGATGAATGAAGTTTATAAGCTTTTAAATTAATATAGTTAGCCAAATGAGATCATTAGAATCACGTTGATGACTTCAAATTGATGTTAAAGATAATTTAAATTGGAGCATGAAAATTATTATTGATTCTCATAGATTTAATTGAAGAGCTATCACAAATTTTGAGGTAATTTAACGGTGCAAATTTCAACCCATTGACTTTTTCTCCCATTGATGATTATCATGAAAGTATGAATCATAATTTTTTTGATGAAACAATTGTGATTTATTTTAATTGGAATTAATGCTATTTAGAGGGCATAGCTAATAAATGAATCAAGCTAAGCTATTAGTGGAATATTATAAGTATGATTAAAATTTAAATTTCCCATATTGAATTAAAAATTTAGTTTAAAGAATTAAATTTAAAAATAAATAACTATTATAATATATATTTATAAATATGGATAATGAGATGCTATATTTTATAATGATACCGAGCGCCGATACCGAACAAAAAAAGTGACGTTGCGTGCTCTAATTGATCTCCAAACACCGTCCGATGTCTGCGCAGAATAATTTTTTCATAAGAAAAACATATAAAATTAGTATCTGTGCATAAGTTGAGTTGCGACAAAAAGATGTAAAAATAGAAGATTGCTCTGAACAGATGGTAAAGGCTTGAAACAATAAAAAGAGAAAAAGGGATTTATCAAGCCAAAACCTCAAATAGATGGAATCATACTATATAATTATCACCAACTTGATTGTCAGTGCATTGAATGAAGAGTAGGCTATTTTACAGGATTGCATCTTGCCCAAAAGAAAAAATAGATTGTACCAGATCGTTTCTCTTTTCAGAACTTTTTTTGGAATTTTATGCATGTAAAATGGTTCTTTGTGGATAAAAAAATACAAAGATCACAGCCAATAAATCCAGTAAGGCTTTATAAAAACTGCAGGTAAAAGGATGAATTATTCTGAGAGGAATCGTCTAATTTGTCTCTGTGAACAATAAAAATGCAGCTCAATGCAATGCACTTTTACTGTTTACAGAAACAAAACCGAACGATTTTCCTATCCGGTGCCGGCACAAAATAATCTCTCGGATAAAATGGGGCTGACAACTAGCAGCATGCAACCAAGCACGGCATGGCTAAGCCCTAAAAATAAATAATAAAAGAACAAAATATCTGTAAGTAAATACATTGTCAACATGCCCTGCATAAATTTTAATCACAAATTGTGACTGGTTTAAGAGTAAGAAGAATGATTTCCATCAGTGTGCATAAGATATAATCATTTTACAGATAACCTCCTCAATGCAATGGTCTGAGCATAAAAAGATGCATCAGCAGATTTTAATCAAAATTTTAAATATGTTCAACACTGCAAAGATATAGATTTTGTTTGAAACGGCTTTCTTATAGCTTCTTAAAGCAGCTATTTAAATAGCTGCTTAAATAGCTGCTTTAAGAAGCTGTAACAAAGCCATCCCAAAAAAATTCATAATCTGCGTAAAACTCACCAATAACAATTGATAAACTGATCTTTTCTTGCACTAATAAGAAGCACAGTTTACTCGACCAAAAAAATTCATGTGATTTACTCAAGCAATTCAAACCTTAAACCAAATGTTCTCAAGCTATGCAATGGAAATGGAAATCTAACCATTTTAGAAGATAGTTCACTTGTCGTTAGTTTCCTCAGTATTTTGCTCGTACCGGCGCTTGAACTTTGCAATCTGGCCAACGTTCTCAGCTATTTGGCGTTTCGCCTTTAAATGATGTACCTTGCCAACGTGATTTAATTTTGTCATCAGAATGTGCATCAATCTTCCACTCTGTGTCACATAGGAAATAAACTGTAGCTGAGGATGCATACCCTTCTTCATTTCTATTACCTGTCAATCAGCAAAAAAACAACAAAGTTTATGATATAAAAGCATCGAACATTAGTTTCAGAGTAGCAAACCCTTGCAAGTGGTAAAACTACTTGAACAAATGCTTGATGTATAATGACCATAAAGCGACAAAATTATATGATTATCCATAAAGTTTTAATAAACATTGTCGTTGTCAGGTCCCAAGTCCTGGATGAGAAAAGTAGAGAGTTATATTAAGTAGTCGACAACCAGCGTAAGACTTATCGAATAATCATGACATGAATCCTTTAAAAAATTGTGGTAGCCGACCCCACGTAGTGGGACAAAGGCTTGATATTGTTGTTGTTGTTTTTGATAAAAAATAATCCCAAATATTTCATTCATTGAAAGTAGTGCACAAGAACAATTAAAATAGGTAAGCATAACAATCAGTCAAAAAAGGCACAATAGATTGATTAAATGCATAAAACTAGTAATATTTAGTTTAATAAATTTAACATATGGCTAAAATCAGTGACCTTTACCCTGAGAACCAAGAAGCATAATGCTTAATCTTATTTTAGGTTGAGACAAATCATCATTATCATTGACAATATCCCAATTATTTAGGGATAATTTTATGAATCCTCATTCTCCATTTCATCCATGTTACATTTTGCATTAAGATGTTAACTTATTCTATAACTGACCCTACGTAGTGGGATAAAGACTTTAAGTTGTCGTTGTTGTTCTATATTAACTTATTCTATACAATTTTTTTTGCACAACTTCGGATTATAACATTTGCTCTACCCTATATCCTTTTTAATTCATTAATAATAACTTTATTCACCATCTTATTATTTAACAAATTACAATCCATCCTTATTAGTTTTGCAACATAACATCTTAACATTCTAGTTTATTTGGATAAAAGAATCCTTTGTTAGGACCATTATATGCTCAATGCAAGCTCAAGTCAAGAATGGCATACTTGCCAGATTGCCTGTTTTTTATAATTGAAGTTTCAACTCTTAAGGAAGCGCATGTTTGATGCAAATGTTAACTTAATGGAATAAGAAATTTAAAATTTATAGTCTTTCAAATTACCTTGTTTCAGGTTTAATGGAAAATAAATTCATCGGTGAGGTGTTTTATCATGTAGACGTAGACATAAAAAGACTTGGTTAGAAAATATTAGAAATGATCTTTCTTTATTAGGTTTAAATGAGAATTTAATTTTTAACATAGCACAATGGAGAAAAAAAATTCATTTAGCCGACAACACATAGTGGGATAAAGTCTTGATGTTGTTGCTGTTTTGGTGGTGAAGTGTTTTATCATGTTCCACACAAATGCAATGAATTAATGAATAAATATGCTATATCGTGCTTGTGAATTATAGATGATTAAGACATGGGCTGGTTTTCACTAATATTCAAGCTAAATATAACATTCTATAAACAATCCTAGAATCTTCACAGACCAAAAATGGAGAGGATACTTGAATAAATTATTCAAGCTAATTGAACTTTAGCTAGACTACTTAGATTGTAAGGTCACGCGAAGTAGGACTACTACTCCTATTCACTAAAAAAGTGTGAGATGTTTTTAAAACTTAAAGCTGTATTCCAGTGCGGAAACCATAATAGAGCCTATAATGATCGTAACAAGAAAATTTTGTAAAAAAAACTATGCATGTATGCTACTTTATGGTCGACTAATGTACTTGGTCTTGAAGTCAAAAACATTAACATTTTAGTTACACACATCTACATTATCAACGTCCATATATTCTTTCCTAAGGTGGTAATTAATGTGTTTAGGAAGATTCCGAACTATGCCCAAATCAAAATATATAAAGATATGAATATCAGTATTAAATAATTTTAAATTGCTACTTGGTGCAAACATTTTTTATTCATTGGAATTATGACCATACAAATAAAAATATAAAAAATAATGTCAAAATTTATGGTCATATCACAGATTGACAATACAATCCAAAACAGTAGAACAATATAGTAAAAAATGGTTAAATTTATCAATGAGAAACAAAATTAATTATAATTTTAGCACAAATAACATAACTATCAACTATGAAAGTCAGAAAGTTGAATGCAAATTAAAAATGAAACTCATGTTTATCTCACTACTAATGCATGCTTTTGTTGAAGAGCTCATATGTCTCTTCCAATGCATTGCACGGGAACTGCGCTAGTATAATAAAACCAGAAAAATTGTTGGGAGACTAAAACCACACAACGAACACAAACAAGAAAAAGAAAAATTAGAGGAATCGAAAGAACACTAAGATTTAAAGTGGAAAAATCTGAAACCAAAAAAAAAAAAACATAGAGCCACACCACACCAAGAAATCCACTATGAAAATTAGGAGTAAATTGTACAGATATCATTGTCTCTCACTCTCTTCTTATCTCTCTTTACTCTAGCACCCTTTAGAATAGACAAAGAGACGTAGTAATAACTCCAAGGAATGTAACCCGTCAAGTTAAACATGAAAAATAAGAAAGAAAACAGCCCAGCCCAACTCTCAATGTGCGACGCTCCATTTTGTTTGTAGTCTGACTAACAACAATACAATGCTAGGGCCTGGAGTTCCATGTGCTATGCTCTCTATTTGTCTCCAACTAAACTATACAGTGCCACTGATGCAGGACTATATGCAAAACATGAAACTTGCACAAAATATTTAAAGAGCAATTTTGGATTTTCATTATTAGCAATTAAAACAACAAAATAAAACTAATAAGTGGTCACTTCCATTTAGGCCAAGCTACGCAAGAGACTAAGCAAAGTCAAAACATTCAGGAAAATCAAAGCAATGCATACAAAGTAGTTTTCAGCATAACCTTGATCTAAAAAAGAGATCTAAAGCAAAGAAGCAACAATCCTACTCTTACTAGTGGATGGCAATAATTGAACATAATCTCTTGCTTGAACAATCTCTCTACGAAGTAAGTAGAATATGAAAGTACAAGAGTCAAGGAAGAAGATCACCATCAAGGAGAACCCGTCTTGATACACCACGTGACATCCGATAGTTGTTCCTCAATAGCCTCGGTCAAGGTGAATAATAAGCGGTCGACGGACTTCTCTATGGATCCGTCAATGTTTGGATTCACGTCGAAGAATGTCAATTTGAGAAGATCCACAAAGCCTTAGTCGTCATATGCGAAACCGGAGTCAAACTCCGGATCAGCCATACATGGATTCGATGAAAGTAGAAGATGGAGAAGAAAGCCTCCTAGCTGTCCTTGCAATTTTCCCTAGAGAAGGAAGAGACTTCCTTTGGAAATTGTAGAGAAAAGAGCAAGGTGGGTGGCCGGCCTAGGGAAAGGGGTGGGGAAGAGTTAGGTTCAGATTTTTAGTGGAGGGAAAATAGGTCTAGGCGAGTTAATTAAAATCTGAAGTTAAATTCAGATTTTAATTAATTAGGTTATAGGAAAAGGAGGGGATTTATTTCTTTAATGGGGTAGAGGAAATAAATTAAAAGAGGGAAGATATGGGGGCGGGTAGAGAGAGAAGAGGGTTGATTGGAGAGAGAAAGGGGGGGAACGGCCAAGAGAGAGGGAGTGATGCGGTTGGGTGTGGGCCCAAGGCAGATTTCGGCCAAAGGAGAGGGGGAAGATTTGGAGAAAAAAAAAAGGAAGGTTTCCTATTTGAGAGAAAATTAAATCTAGGAATTTTTAATGCAATCCAATTTAATTCCAGATTAAAAGAATTGAATTAGGAAACTTTCTAAATTTAATTTTGCCCATGTTAGGAAAGTTTTGAATTTCAAATTAGAGGATTTGAATTTCAAAATCTATCCTAATATTATCTATCTAAAATAGGCAAGGGAATTAAGAGGGAAAGGGGAAGTAGGGGGCGGCGACATGCTTAGGGAAGGTGGTAGAGTTGGGCGGCTGCTTTGAGGGGAAGAGGGGTCGGTTGGGAAAGGGTTAGCCGGCGGTGGAGGTAAGGGGAAGGGAGGGAAAAAGGGAGGAGAACCAAGAGCCACCGGTAGTGACTGTTGGGTACGACGGGTGGCCTATCCTAAGCTCCACCAAGCTCTCTAACTCTCTCTCAAACTCTCACATAAGCTTCAAAAACACAAGTGCAGAAAAATTTTAAAAATCATTCATTAACCTCCAAAAGAACAAGATGAAGGCTTTAATAGCCTCTCCAATGACTTAAAACAAAAAGGACTAAAATACCCTCAAGGGGCTACATGACTCAATCCCTCAAGCAAGGGTAAAAAGGGATAATGCTAAAATTAAAAAAAAAAATACATCAATAAGTAGACAATAATAAAATCAAAAGTACATCGGGTAAATCATGGCCGTTGATTTACGGCCACGTCAACGGTAGACTTTCCATCTGATGTCCCCATAAGCCACGGCGTTGTATAGTTGTACGGGAAAAAAAAACATTTCAGCACTTGAACCCAAGCAGGGGGGAGGACCCCCTGCAACCCCCTCGACGAGCTCGATCGACAGAATTAAGGAATTAGTCAATAGCACAACCAGATTGATCGACACAATCAGATTACACACATAACTAACAAGAACTTTCTCAAAATGCTAAGAAAAACCGCCTCACCCGAACTAAGCTTCTCAAATCATGCACCGAGATTCAATATTCTAATTAATTTCTACATGTGGCAATTGATGATTTCAAGTAATCAGCAGACAAATGTATTCAAGATATTAGAGCTCAAAACCATAACCATATGCATTATTGACCCCTCAAATGAAACTGAAACGGAAACTGAAACCTTTAAACAAAATGCACCTTGATAACTCTTTTTTCTTAGATGGCATAAGTTCTTCCCTATAATTGGAAAGCGACAGATTCTGATCTTCTCAAAAGCATGTACATTTTTGGCATCACCACCCAACAACAGAAAATAGACACTATTTACCTAAATTACGATTCCTTAAATGTTTTATAGATCAAGCAAGCACCAATTATTCTAGCCCAAAGACTAAACCTAGGAACAACTTTAAAGTATACTCCTGCCAAGGAAAACAACAATTTCAAGAGTCCGTCACAAATCTACAAGCTATGCAACCAAAAGATGAAGAATCTTTGTTAAAAAATAATTAACTAATTCCATTTTCTTCAAATGAATTGAAGCGCGTGTAAACTCCAATTTTCATTCAGTGGTGAAAACCATATCCATGCGGACATCTGGAATCAATCTCCTCAAGAACCAGACCTTGTGGAATTTATTGCAGCAACAAAGTTGCATGGATCGAATGGAACAATACAATATATAGACACATAAATCCTTTACGAGTCCCGCAATATTCCTTTCAAGGGATTCATCATTTGAGGGGAAGTAGACTAGTCAATAACTTCACATTTCCTTTTTTTAGTAAACAACATAAAAGAAACGAAAAAGGATTAGAGTGAAAATAACCAAAAAAAAAAAAAGATAAGAATGAATCAATGAAAGGCTGGTCCTTACTGTGAAATTAAGTAAAGAGTGACTTTTTATAGGGTTTTCTCGAACAAAATTTAAAAAGAAGAAGAACCCCTCTCTTTATTTGGTGTAACTACTTGAGCCGGATGAGAGGAAACCTTCAAGTCCGATTGTGAGGGGGGAATCCAATATGTTGACGTAATAATTGTAAATTTTATTATTGAGCCCATAAGAAAATGGTATTTTTTACCCTCCGGGGTAATATATCGTATTCTTATGCCGTGCCCGATTATAAAATATGCAATCCGTTCGAGGATACAAAAATTCTCCAACACAATATTATAGGAACCTATCTCAATTTTTCTTTTGCTAGGTCCATAACTAAAAAACCTACTTTCTTACGATTACGAGGTTCATTCGAATATGAAGTAGATAAGCATAAAGCTGATTGGATGGTTTCTTCAGCTTCTAATTCTCTTTGATACATTCTTTTTGCAAAGAAATAATCCCCCAGTTCATAGAGGTTGGCCCCAATTCTCATTAGTATAAGTGGTAAACTACTACACAACCATCAAGATTACTATAATTAGTAAGCTACTCCACAACCATCAAGTGGTTTAGGACAACCATCAGGTGGTTTAGGAAAAAGGCCGAAGTATGCTATCCCTCACAACCAAAGGCTACAATAATCAAGCATCATGAGCCTTAATTTGGCAAAAAAGAAAACTTGCATGGATAACTTATGAAGAAAAACATTAAAAAGGTGATTCTTTATTTGTAATAAATTGGAACTACTAAACAAATTTATAGCCAGAGCAATAACTAAAAAATTATAGATGAATTTAACTCTTTTATTGACACTTAACCTACTTAGAAATTTATTAATGCAATTTATGAATTTGAAAAAAGAAAAATAGTAAATGAAAAAGGGAGATTTATCTTCAATGTTTCACAGAGAGGGTGCACTTATGCAGAGGTATTGTGTTCACTAAGTGAGATAAGGAGTTGAGGGGGAGTGTTGAAGGATCGTGGGACCCACAAATCAACCAATCTTGATATGTATCATTCGGCGCACAAATTAAGGGTTTTAACTATTACATTCATCCTCATATAGCCCTTAGATAACAATATGTGTGCCTCATCTTCCTATTCTAGCCTCCGGCCACTCTTAGAGTCTTTTTCATTTTTAGTAAGTAGCTTTGATTTATTTTCATTGCAAACCTTTTGGACAAGTCTCTAAATACGTCCACACTTTGTACAAAATTAAACAATAAAATTCAAACTAGTTTTATGTACTTTTCCACTTTTCTAAACATAATCCCAATAAGGGTTAAGCCCATCAATTCTCTTCTCATCCAACAAAATAAAGCCCAATTATCTTAATCCAGATAAGCTCAAAAGGAATAAAGCAAGAAAACCAAACCCAACATGAATCGATTGTATCATGCTGCCAATTGAACCACAACATCCCACTTATAAGCCAATAAAAAGATATCCACATGGCAAATCAAGGAATTCATCTAAATTTAAATTGAATAAAACCCCACATCAAAATAATTAAGCATATTTTTTTTCTCATCTAATCTAATATTAGTTGCACTTAATTGATCTAATTAATATGTTAATTAAACTAAAATAACTTATTTATGATGTTTGATTTAATTAATGAGTCGTGGCGTATTACACATTACTTTTTCATAATATATACATGGACGCACCTATCTCTAGTTGCATTATTTGAACCAACAAGTTGCATAAACTTCCACAGTATCTATTTCTCTTGCATTCCATGACAGACAAAAAATATTAATTTTAGGATGTGAAGAACAAAGATCTTAGAATCATACAAAATCATTAACAATTAAAATAAAAATGGATAAGATCATTACCAAACAATCATTGAATTGATAAACATTCAAGAACTATATATAAATTTATAAATTTACATTAACATGTCTCGAACACGGAGAAATGAAGAGGCTCAATCATAAATGAAATCAAGTTTAGCTTAATGTTCCTCGCTATACAGTTGCACCAGTTGCAAACAAAATGTCATTCCAAAGACAGAGATACTGAATATAAATGGAGTTAAATTGCGCACCCCTGCCCTAGTTGTTAAGAGTGAATTGATGCAAATTAATACTTTTACAGCTACCACTCAACAACAGCACAAAATCTCCACAAGTATTTCAATAGAATCAATCAGTATAGACCACATAACAAATTAAAGTATGATGAGGACTATCCTGCTCCGCATACACAAGTTATCCTATTATGCTTCTCCACTACCATAATCACCATCCTTATTCCCTTTTATGATAGAATCGTTCTCATATATTCTGTCCTTTTTCTTTAACTGTTTTTACTCATGGTAGTAAGGTAGCTAGAAGTAGAAGATATATTACAAAAGACTGATTTTACAGAAATATAGTTAGAAGAAGATTATACTCCTCCTGTTCCATTGTTGTTTGTTCTCTTATTTCTTGCAGGTTCCATTCAAGTGATCAGCTTCCGCTTGAAGATACATCAATTTGGTATCAGAGCCAGCATTCCGGTAATGGCTCCAAAACCTTCTCGCAAAGCTGCTGACGACGATCGGAGCTTGGATGTCGTGTGGGCAGCACAAGCTAGCATCACTCAACAACTGAATGAATTGAGGGCGAACTTCTTCCGCATCTCCACCGAGTTATGCAATGAGATCCTCGATCTAAAAGCCTCAGTCAGTACCGTTCTAGGACCTGGGCAACCACAACCGGCTCCTATTCCAACGCTGAGGAATCCTTAAGGTCGAATTGGAGAACACAAACCATATCGTCATGTTTATGCAGAAGTTACATAATCTGATGAAGAAATGGATTTCCATCCACACCGTGAGCCTCTGGATTATGGAGATGATGGACCATTATGATATTATGACCGCCCTAGACCTAGCGGCCCTAATCAAGGCAACCATGGAGAATTTCATGTTAAATTAGACATCCCTTTCTTCGAAGAGCAATTACATATTGAAGATTACCTTGAATGGGAAATAGCCGTCGAG